TTCTCTCTCTCTCTCTCTCTCTCTCTCTCTTTCTCTCTCTCTTTCCCCATTATCTCTCATTCTTCCTCTATTTCTCTTTCTCACTACTCAGTCTTTTATCTCTCTCCCCTCTTTATCTTTCTCCTCTTTCACAATAATTGTTCCTCCCCCTCCCCCCCGCCTCCCCGAAAAACAAAACAAAACAGCAACAGCAATAAAACAACAACAACAACAACAAACAACTACATAAAAAACGATAAAAAAGCAAAAGAAAACACCCCCCCCCAAAGGCCATTGACTGTCCCCCAACAACTTACCTTAACTGCTCAACCAGAGTCTCCTTGGTGGAGTTGTCGGACTGAAGATCCGTGACCCTGACCTTTAACTCCTGGAGTTCATCATCCAGTTTGTTCATTTCCTTCCTGAGACGCTTGTTTGTGTCTGCCGTTTCCTCCCTTTGTGTCGCTTTGAGCGAGTCGTACTCTCGGCTCTGCTCCTGTGACAGACATACAGAAAATGAAGGGCACAAGTATTTTATTACCCTCGTCTTCAAGAATAAAAGGGGCAAAATTATTATTTTTGTCTCTTAATTCTCGTCTTCCAGAATTGAGAGGCAAACTTAACTTCTGTCTCTTTACCCTCGTCTTGAAGAAGTGAAGAGCACAAGTTTTATTTCTCTCACTTTACCCTAGTCTTCAAGAATTGAAGAGCACAGGATTATTTCTGTCTTTTTTCCCATGTCTTCAACAATTGAAGAGTACGATTATTATTTCTGTCTCTTTACCTTGGTCTTCAAGAATTGAAGAGCACACACAAGTACTTCTGTCTCTCTACCCTTGTCTTTTTATTACTTGCGTTTCCATTTTAAATACAACTGTTTCACTGGGTTCACATAAATCCATTGATTCAGTTATTTCACAATCCTTTAAGTTTTGTCACCTTCTTCAGCCCCTCACTCTATCCTGAGTCACTGGTTCACTTTCTTTCTGCCATTTTATCTTTCTTTTAAAACATTGCACGATATCTTTCACTTCCACTTTACTTTAGTATCTTTATCTCTTTATCTTTGTATTTCTATCGCTTTTCTTTTGTGTTATGGCCTTTCACCTTTATTTCCTTGTCACTTTACCTTTGTATTCTTGTCACTTTACCTTTGTATTCTTGTCACTTTACCTTTGTATTCTTGTCACTTTATCTGTGAATTTCTGTCTCTTTACCCTTGTATTCCTGTAACTTTACCTTTGCTTTCTAGTCACTTCACTTGTGTATTCCAGTCACTTTTATATCTCAGTCTCGCTACCTTTCTGCCACTTTATCTTCGTATCTCTGACCTTTTACCTTTGTATTCCTGTGCCTTTGCTATAGCATTCTTGTCACGTTATCTTGGTATGTCTGTCTCTTCATTTTTCGTTTTCTTTCTCTTTACTTTTGTAGCTTTGCCACTTTGCCACTTTGCCCTTGTTTCAAACTATTACCTGAATAATCTCATTTTTCTCCCTTTCCATCTGCCGGAAAGCAGCCTCCAGTTTGGCCATCTGCACCTGTCCATCTCCCCATCCTGTCTGTGTCTCTTCCAGTCTTGCCGCCAATGTTTCCATCTCCTGCAAGAGAGAAAGACGGCCAGCAATAAATAGAGGGTCGTCATACTGAGAACATTATGAAGGGGCCAGAAAAATAAAGGGCCTAACTCATCTTGAGGTGGTTTCGGGCAAAACAAGTAAAAAAACCAACAACACAAAAACAACCCCCCCCCAACAAAACATAAAAAATAAATAAACCAAACAAACCAAATAAAACAACAACACACAACCCCCCACAAACATAAAACAAACATCACCTACCCCCCCCAACCCCCCCACCCCACTAAAATACCAAAATAAACTCCAGATTGACTTACGCATGATATCGTACCGAGTTTTGGTACTTTGTAAAGGCCATAGATCAGATTTAAAGCCATCTAGCCATTTCATTCAAGCTATTTTGTATTGGCTTGCCTTGTGTGTTTCGTCATACATGTACTAAGCGCCCCAAACTTGGTAAAATGTGGCTTTGACCCTACATTTTTCTAACCCTGTCATATATTCTGACAAGCGTCTTTGATAATAATAGCATGTTTTATTCCACTATCAACACAGTCTAGAACATATGCGAGGGCGTGAAAGGGGGTGGGCGGTGGGGGTGGGAGTGGGCGTGGGGGAACGGGTGTACATCTCTGTTTACTGAATGTTTACATTGCAGCTCACAGACGAGAATATTTGATTTTAAAAAGCAAAACAAAAACCACAGAAAAAATAGATTCTAAAATCAAAAGGATACCCCCCCCCTACCCAAATACAAAGGAACAAAAATGAGAAAAAAAGACCCCATTCTATACTCGCCACTCGGGAATCAATCTCATGCTTCGCGCTTGCGAAGGCAAAGATCGTAACCATTATATCACTGTCCCTAAGGTTATCACTGGGGTCTAAATCTCAATCTCAAAGCAGCTGTAACGTAAAAACAAGTTCCGAGTCATCGTGATCACCTCATACATCAGTGTCACTGTTCCCATCTTTACATTCGTCACCATCCCACCCCACCCGCGCCCACCCACCCATCACCACGCCCATCCACCCCCACCCCCTTACACCTCTCTCTCGCCCACCCACGACCTTGTACGACTACCCACCACCCTCTCTACCCACCACGCCCACCCTTCACATTATACAACCCTCCCCCCCTACCCCCAGCTCATCATGCCCACACCTGTTATTTCTATTCTTGCTCCCAAGCAATCAATGGAACCCCAAACGTTTCTCTGGATTGCTAACATTTGCTGTATTGATCTTGAGCACCGTCAGCTTAGTGCTTGGAAGGGAAATGATTTATTCCTCTTTCATCTTCAACCAGACTGTTGAATTTACACACACGGGCGCACAAACTCATACTTACACTCACAAATACACACACACACACTCACACGCACACACACACAAACAAAAACAAACCAAAGCACACATAGATAGTGAGATAGATAGTGAGATAGATAGATAGATAGATAGATAGATAGATAGATAGATAGATAGATAGATAGA